AACAGAAGGTAGGTTTGGGCACAAGCCAAAAATTTGCCTTCTTTAAAAAGGTGGAGTGTATCCACTTACACCACAAGGATTCTTTGTCGGTAAAGAGAAGCCAAATGTGCTTTAAAGTCATAGCATTGTTGTATTCAACAAGTCTCCGGATGCCTAGGCCGCCTTCCTCTTTGGGTAAGCAAACAGCCTTCCACGCTACTTTAGCTCCACCAACTCCAAGGTCAGGACCTTTCCATAGGAATTGCCGCAGAACGACCTCAATACTATGCAATACGATTTGGGTAAAGAAAAGATGGTGGCCCAAGATACTTGAATGGAATGCAAGACCGACTTTATAAGCTGTAGGCGACCAAAGAAAGGAAAGAAAGCGTTGGGACCAAGAACGGGCACGAGCCGTGATAGAATCAATCAAGGCTTTACACCCACCTTACGCAGCCTAGTTGAGATAATAGGCACACCAAGATAACGAAATAGCAATGTACCCTGCTGAAACCCGAGGCATTGAATTAACTGGTCATGCAACGCCTAAGTCCCTCCCGTGATGAAGATATTGCTCTTCGCCTTATTCGGTTTTAATCCAGACCAATCAGAGAACAAGAGGAGAGATTCATTTATCAGTTGAACTGACCTCAAGTGACCTTCTGCGAACAACAGTACATCATCCGCAAAGAAGAGGTGCGATAACCGGGTCTTTTGCATCGCCAAAACCAGTGGAAATCCGGCATATCAGTTTTAGCCTTTAGAATGCCCGAGAAGATCTCCATAACCAGAATAAAAAGGTAAGGCGATAGAGGGTCTCCTTGGCGAATCCCCCTAGAGCTCCGAAAGTAGCCATGCAATTCGCTATTAATGGAAACCGAAAATTTTGCTGTCGTAACACAAGCCATCACCAGCTTGGTAAAGGAGACAGGAAAGTTGAAGGCCATTAGAGCCTTCTCTAAGAAGCTCCAATCAACAGTGTCATATGTTTTTTGGAAATCCACTTTAATAGCACACTTGGAAAGGTAGGGCCGGTGGTGGAAATCCGTAAATAGCTCTTGGGCTATCAAGATATTGTCACTGATCCTTCGTCCTTTAACAAACGCCGTTTGAGCAGGGCTAATAAGTGTTGGAAGGATACGCGCTATCCTCCTAGCCAAAATCTTGGAGATACACTTATATAAAGTATTGCAACAAGCAATAGGACGGAAATCCGACATAGCTGAAGCGTTTGGGGATTTCGGAACTAGAGTGAGAATGGTGTTATTGATCTCTTTAAGCATGCATCCTGATTCAAAGAAATCTCTTACTGCTACAAATTTTCTTTCTTTCTTTTTATCCTATCTTCTTCTGAGGTCTCGTTCACGTGAGATAAGCTTCAAGCTTTTCGCCACCGAAAAAAAAGAAAAGAAAAAGCTTGTCTAACCCTAATTAGCCCCACTCAATAAATACCACTAATTATAAATTAAATATACATACATCTCTCTCTTTCTCTGGCGTATATATATATATTAAAAACTTGTGTAACTTATTATAATATGCAGAATTTGCTTCCGTTGACGTGTTCACGATAGTGATTTTTCTTTCCTTTTAGTACTTTTATCCAAAAAAAATTAAAAAAATAGAATTTTATATTCTAATTCACACAAAGAAGAAACCACACTACTCTTCGTTGACATAGAATTGCACTATACAGGATTCCACGATCCACGATCAATTCATGGGGGCACTATTGTTTTCGTGGAGAACAAGATAACATTCAATGCAAAAGTTTTGCTTTCGAGATACGGATGTGACCACAAAAGAAGCATAATCTAAGCTTTGATCCCCTCTTTACATTTTAATTTAATCGGCCAGACAAAAGTACCAATAATTTGAAAGAAATATTCTAGAATAATACTGAAGGTTGGAATCGTACCCTTTTATGTTGATCTTTAAATTATGAGATAATCGCGATCGTTTTGGACCCACCATTAAACGAGCTTAGCGACACGCGCCGTAATTCTTTCCCTGGACCGGGGGTTAGGTGGGGAGATCGCTAAGCGGGGAGCTTCGAAAAAGAAAAGGAAAAGGATGAAGGATTTAATTATTCCGGCATATTCGGGGGATTTGTCGTAAAGTTTAATTCGATAATAACGGAAGCTCCGGTTGTCGGAAATGAGTGATATCGCGAGTTTCGGAATTCGGGCATCATCGAATTCGAAGGTATTCGTGAGAATCTAATGGGTTCGAGATGAATTTCGTTCCCAAAAGGGCTTTTCTCACTTATTTGAGATGAGCAACGAGACGAGGTCCGGAGACTGTTTTTATCTCGATGTATCCTCATTTAATTTCTTAACGGGCCGTCCACGATACTCCGGGCACCGTATCGCGAGCCGTTTAATGCTCATGAATATCCCGTGTTATCCTGTATCGAGGAAATTTTAACCAATATAACCTCGAGATTCCAGAAGTCCAATTCAGATAAATCAACCTGGGAAAAGAGAACGTGCTCAATATGTTTGAAGGTTTGAGTCAGAAGCAAAAAGATGCAAACATTTTATGGAAAAATAAGAGAAAAAAGGGGCAATCAAACGGTCACTTTCAGCCATTTGCATTTCCACCCTTTTTAAGATGGCAAGCCTTGCACGTCCAATAGAATTGGAATCCCTAGTCAACCGTCAACTATCCTTAAAATTGTTGACCCAAAAAAAAAAAATTGGCCTTAAAATTAAATTAGTTTATCATATATATTGGTTTTTCAAAAAAATTTGTCCCCCCTTTGTACTACCGGCTTAGAATTTTCCACGTATGAAAAATGTTGCCTCCTCCAAATTTGTTGGGCTACCTGGACGTGGTTGAGATTCATCCACCATCAAGGAAATGCATGATACTGGATTTTTGCGGGGGCAAAATTGACCGGGCGTTTACCGGATGGAATGGGCAAAAAGATGAGCGGTATCGGCTTTTTCAAAATAGCTAGATTCCCTTTTTAGCCGGTCATCGGGTGTGACTGATTGGATGAGAAGCATCCACTTTTGGCAACCTTTTCCAGGGCGATTTCTGTCCCCCATCAATTTTCTTGCACGATCGAGAGCTCGTGTGCTCAGTTTCGCCGGTACCCGCACGCTCAATTCCCTAATCGAGAGAGAGTTTTTCTTCTCTCGCCTCGAGAAATACCTCCCGAGTTTTACATTTCATAGTTCGGACAAATACTGTTGAGGACATGCTCAGGTCCAAAGCGAATTAACTTTGAATTGCAACATTTCTTATTCGAGAACCGACGGAAACAAAAAAACATTGAGAAATGGAGTTCGAAGAGGAGGATCCGAGATTCGGGAGGTTTAAAGAACCTGAGGACATCATGGATGCAGTTCCATTCGACATGATCGTAAAAAGCTCTAGCAAGGTCTACTTTGATAAGCATGGAGCTCGAGGAGCCTTGTTTTAATACTTATGGAATGGACAATTTCTTCGACGATCACAACATTGTCGACACCTCTCCGACCCGGAACAAAAAGAGGAGAGATTAACGAGCCAAGGAGGGGTCGAAGTCTATTGAGAAGGATTTTCGTGACGGCCTTATGGACGATGCTGTGTCAGCTTATAGGACGAAATTGAAAAGTTTTTTCAGATGCACGACATTATTAACAAGAATTTGTTAATAGTAGCTTAATTCTCACATTACATAGTATGAGAGAACAAGGCAAAGTCTCAATTCTACAATTAGGGCTCAATGTGAAAGAATTTTTAGGAGGTGAAGAAAGGAGAGCAAGGCAAAAATTAATTCTTTCTTATCTTGAAGAGTAGGAAGTGAAGTATTTGATATTACTTTATTTGGAAATGGATAGAAAATGAGAAGGAAATTTCTCTGGGAAAAATGAAAACACCCCTTTTCATTCAAAGCTCTGTAAATTCGTGACGAAGACAATGGCAATTTTCCAGACGTGCGATGTTTCATTTTTTTGTTAAATTAGGGATTTTTTCTCTAATTTGAGAAGGAAAAAGATCGTCGTTTCCAATCTAATGGGTCGAAAAAACTCTCGGCCTTGCCACGACCAAGCCTCCACCACTCATCTTCTTCCTCTGGTCGGTCGCCGGGCGCCGAAGGTGAAGGCCAACAAGTTTGACCGATCCTCGCTCGCCTCCTGTGAGGATCGAGCCTCGCTAATGGCAGGGCAAACAGAAACAGCGAGGTCGACCTCGCCAGGTTCGAGTACGGTGAAAAAAATGTGGCTCGAGCAAAAATAATTCACCCTTATAGTTCGTCTCGTACACATCGCTTCCAAACAGTGCTCATTGCTCGATTCCCTCTCTAACATGCTTTCTTTCCTCAAAGATCGAGCACAAAAGTCAACACTTCATGAGATGTTTTCGGGAAAAATTTCAAATAAATGTCCGAAGCGGGCTCTGTCCAAGCACGTGAGTTGCGTAGGAGAGCCAGTCGATGAAGATTTGGCCAGTCAGTGAGCTCGGGGCCTTACTCGAGAAAAAGTTTACTCAAAGCCGTCTTTTCGAGAAAACGGGCCATTCTAGCTTCATGTCTGAAATTTCTTCTCCTCCATTTTTTAGGCAAATCGTCAAAAACGTGGAAGAGTAATATAAGCAACGAACAGCAGCCGCTTAAAATTACGACGCCCGCAAATGCGAGGGAAGCCAACTCTTTCGACGCCAAATCACGCACACGACAAGTTCATTAAAAATAGCAAAAATATGTCGCTGAGAAACTGGTCTCTCTCTTTCCATTTATGCTCACAGCTTGACCACGTATTCCCCAGCCACGCCCCCCCGCGCCCCCGCTGCTCTCGAACTGCGAGCCCTCCTCCTAGAATCAGAGAGAGAATTCTTATTGTTTTTTTGGGACAAAAAGACAGCATTTTTCTGGACCCCTTTTGGGTTTTTCTTCAGTAATTAACCGAGGGAACACGACGGTTCTCAATATATCGACCGTCTTTTATCTGATTCAATCGCTGTTTAGTCCTCTAGGAAGACGGTCGTAAACAAAAGATTCAATTTTTATCGTCGAATTGCAGACTTTTTTGGAGAGAGAGGGAGAGGGGGGAGGAGATGAGTTTTCTGACCAGTTTCAACTTTTCCTTTCTTCTTTTCTTTCCTTCTCTTTTTTTCTGGGACCGTGAAATCCATTGTGCCTCTTAGAGAGCTCAAGTGGGTCGCTTGTTGGTCTTCGTTCTTTCGAAGTCCCCTGCTCTCCCTAACTTCTTGCGCTTCTTCCTCTGCGCTGTCTATGCCCGCCTCGCGACTTCCCCTTTTTTCCCCACGCTGAGTAGTCTCTTCCCTTCTTTCCCATGCGCCCATTTGCCTCGTTCTGGACTTCTTCTCTTGGCGGCTTCGTTTCTTGATTGTTGACAGAAGGTAATCTCGAATTCAACTTCCTTTAGTTCTCGCAGATTGTGCCTCTTTTTTTTTTTTTTCGTTTGACTTGATTGTCTTCAGGGGCGAATCTTCACTTGTCTGCGAAGGAGGGGGGGGGGGGGGGTATGTTATCTTCCTGTTTAAGCATCTGGGCTTCTTGATATCGGGCAAATCTTTACTGGGTATGGGTTGATAATGGCTTTTGGAGCACTGGATTGGTTGGGGTTGGTCTGAGGTCAACTCTGTTCTTTGGGGGGTAGATTTTTATGTATTGAGTGGATTGCGGTTTGAGTGATTGGGGGATTTCATGCTTGGTCCAAGACAATGGAGATGTCTATGGCCGGACTTCTATTCCTTTAGTATTCTTTATCGTGGATTGGTGAGGAGACAATGAAGAACCTTCTCAAGAAGCTCCACATCATGTCGAATCAAACAGAAGATAGGGAAGAGCTTGGTTCATCTATGGGCGGTAAGACCTGCGACGTAGTATCGTCGCCCGATAGACTCACGCAAGCGCGATCGTATCATTTAAGCGACCACAAACCCTTTTCAGGGCTTTCTTCTTGGTTACACTCGGTTTCTAGTAAGCACGGACATGGTGCCCCTTCATCTTCGAATGTGAATAAGGGAGAGCCAATGGAGCCATCCGATTCTGTCATTGTCAGCGGAGTGAATAATGATCCAGATGCAGCTTTGCAGGATTCGGAGTCTAACTCTAGAGATCCTGATGTAGAGGAGGAGTATCAAATACAATTGGCGATGGAGCTGAGTGCGAGGGAGGACCCTGAGGCAGTTCAAATTGAGGCTGTCAAGCAGATTAGTTTGGGATCTTGTGCTCCAGATAATACTCCAGCCGAGGTTGTTGCTTATAGATACTGGGTAAGTTGTCATCTTCGCCCCTTCTTAAGAATGAATGGAAGGCATCATAAGAGAAGGATTGAATTATGTTTGACTAAGTAGTTTTGGGCTATGGACGATGTACATTTTACTTTTGCTCCTTTTTCATATAGTGTCCTCTACTAGAGAAATAACCGGTGGAAAGCACAATACGTCTTCGGTTGGAAAAATGCACAACTGCATTTTATGTGGACTTTTGTGTAATAGTTTGTTATTTCAAGTTCTGTGTTAGGGCACTTATTTAACCAAACCTGATTGACTATTAGCAAGAGCAACTGAAAAGAATTTGTCACTGGAAAGTTATAACAATTTCAGCAATTTTTCTTGAGCTTTCCTGTATAATGATCCATGATCCAAATCTGCTCCACTTCTGTTCGTGTGTATCAATAGAATGGAAAGCCAAAATCATTCATGTAGAGTATTACATGGATACTGAAGAAAATGGTGTTGTTTTCTTGTGCTGAGACACGTTTCGACCTAAGCTTGAATTTACTTTAGAATAAATTCTCGTCTTAACCTCTCTCTTATTTTCTTTCTTCTTCTCTTTTTTTGGCGGGGTTGCCTAGATGGGAGTTGTAATCTTCTAGAATCTGTTAGAGAATAGTTTTAATCCTAATGAGCAGCAACGGGAAGGATTGGTGAAAATGTGCAGTTCCAGTGCGACTGGTGCCAGCTTTTAGAAGCCACTCGGCAGGTTAAGAATGTAGGAAGAGGTTGCTAAGTCATTCCATATTGAATACGGACTTTGATAGTTCCCAGGATCCGCGCCACCTTATCATACATATACGGAAACAAATGAAATTGAGAATCATATCTGGAAAGAAGGAACAATTTTTTTTTGGCTCTGTCTGTTTCTATTGAAGTGTGTTGGTTGGTTGATAGTATTATGAAGTTGGAATTACCTCTTCTAGCTGGAACTTAACTACCTATTATTCTGCTGAATGTGGCTTTCTTTCTTCAAATTTAAGCACCGAGTTTGAAAAGATATATGACCTTAGTATCTCCCAGTCATTCTATGGTAAGTGTTCAGATGCAACCTTAACTTGCTGGGCAGGCAATACCCGCTATGAATATCTCTAGTCCGGTTTTTTTCGATTTCATTAGTTACATGAGGTGCTTCATCTAGAGTTATCGAGGAGAAACTAGCAGCCTTCGTCTATTTGGTAAAATGGTACAAGTTCAAAGATCTCGTGATCTTGTGGAATCTATTTGGAAGAATTCCGTCTATCTGGATGTTTCCCCAAATTGGGAGCTTTATCTTTCTGCTTAAGTTATGTTGTCTCTTGCTTCACTAATCTAGCTGATTAGATTGATGCTTGTAGTGAAAATAACCAAATTAGATTACCTTAGAAGGTGCTCTATGGATCTAGAATCGTGCTCTCTAGCTGCTTTTACATCTTCTTCTTTTTTGTTAGGTTTATTCTTTTCTAACCCATCTCATACCGTAGATTTGTCAATGATTAACAGAACTACAATGCTCTTAGCTATGATGACAAAATCGTGGATGGTTTTTATGATCTATATGGGGTCCTGACTGCGTCAACCTCAGGGAGAATGCCTTCACTTGTTGATTTGCAAGGAACACCTGTATCTGAAAATATCGCTTGGGAAGCAGTTTTGATCAACAGAGCTGCAGATTCAAATTTATTAAAACTGGAAGAGAAAGCCCTAGAGATGGCAGTCAGATCAAGATCAGCCTCTCTTGGTTTGTTACAGAGTAATCTGGTGAGAAACTTAGCTGTTTTAGTTTCGGACTACATGGGTGGACCAGTTGCAGATCCAGAGAACATGTTAAGAGCATGGCAAAGTCTTGGCTATAGTTTGAAATCAACACTAGGTAGTTTGGTTTTGCCTCTTGGTTCCTTAACCATCGGGATGGCTCGGCATCGTGCTTTGTTGTTTAAGGTACACACTCTGTCTTTTTATTAATGTATGGTAATAATTAGTTTCGTTTCTTTCCTAGATTATATAAATTTGTGATAGTTACAGTAATTTTTCTTTAATTTTTCTGGAGAAATTACTGTTGGTTAGAATCAGATTTGCACAAGCTATAGCATTTGTTTGTAATTATTTTGATTAAACTGTTGCATACCAAAGTGCCTGTATGGTACATTTTGGCCTGAAGTATGTTAATGTTCTGCCCATTTGTATTCTGTTTCTTCCCTTGAATTTTATATCGTGTGAAGTCTTTTATGCCATTTTTTGGCGACTGTAGATAATTTCCATTTGGAATTGCTTATGTTTATTTCGACTTCTCAAACTTGTATGAATTGCTTGAAACACCTGCACAGGTTTTGGCTGACAGTGTAGGCATCCGATGCCGGTTAGTGAAGGGGCAGCAGTATACAGGTTCAGATGATGTAGCAATTAACTTTGTAAAGCTTGATGATGGAAGGTAATTGATGTGTACTATTCATATTTATGCTGATGCAAGAATGTTAGCTGATGCTTTTACTTCTTGCTTTGCTCTGCATAGAAAAATATGTGTTGTATCCTGACTCTATCATGTGCATGTTCTCTGCACGTTTAAAGTCGTTTGCATTTTTAAATTGTGAATTGCATGTTATAGCATGTTAGATTGATTAAAAGGATCTATACGAGGTCCTTTTCTTCATATCAAGTATGGATGTGTAACCTGTTTAAAACGCTATTGATAATTGATTCTCAGGGAGTACATAGTTGACCTCATGGCTGATCCAGGCACTCTCATACCATCTGATGCAACGGGGTCACATGCAGAATTTGATGAATCATACTTATCGGTCAGCCCTATGTCAGGAGATTCATCACATGCTGCCTCTTCTAGTAGCGGAGTTACCAGTTCGTATGAAGAGCAGTTAGAATTTGGGACACCTGACAAGAGATCTAGGTTCATAACCAGTGCTACTTCAGGAAATGAGTCCATTAATGAAGGTGAAGTACTGGCTGGTGTGAATCTAACTAGGCCAATCATGGTGAAAGAAGGAGGCAAGAAATGCTCGGAAGACCTGAAAAATCAATCCAGTTTAAATAAGTTGGGGGCCAGAGAGATCCCGGGAAGGCCTAATTACCCTTACACGCATGCAAGATCTCCTTCATGGACGGAAGGTGTGAGCTCACCTGCTGTTCGCAGGATGAAAGTAAAAGATGTTTCAGAATACATGATTGATGCTGCCAAAGAGAACCCGCAGTTAGCTCAGAAGCTTCACAATGTATTACTTGAAAGCGGTGTCGTTGCTCCACCGAACTTGTTTAGTGAAATTTATCCTGGGCAGTTAGATGCATCAACTGCTGAGACCAAGTCACCAGCTGGGGACAAGCCTCTGATAGGAAATAAGGATGAAAAGAGCCATCAGGTTGGAATTCAAGATACTAAGGGTCAGGATGATAGAAGTGCACCTTGCCTTTTGCCTCCTTTGCCCCCCTATAAACCGCATTTAAAAGCAACACTCCCTTGGGGTCCATCAGAGCAACCTAAACCTGTAGAAGGTTTAGGATTCAACCCTTTATTAGAACCGCGGGAAGCAACTGGGCAATTGATTTTGTCTCAATATGATGCCACTCCGCCGGTATATGTGAAAAATGTCCCTGTAGCGGCAGCGGCAGCAGCAGCTGCTGCAGTGGTGGCGTCGTCCATGGTAGTTGCTGCTGCAAAGTCGAATACGGACTCGAATCTTGAAATTCCTGTTGCAGCTGCCGCCACGGCAACAGCTGCAGCCGTGGTGGCAACTACTGCGGCTGTCAATAAGCAATATGAAGCGGGGGTGAAAAGTGATGGAGATCCAGATTCTGGTGGGTCCGAGCCACGAGGGAGTGCTAATCGGGAGAGTGATGCTGCGGGAGTAAATTCAGAAGGTGAGAGGGTTTCTGACAGATCAACTGGTAATGATAGCGCAAAATCAGATATTGCCCTTGATGATGTTGCGGAGTGCGAGATTCAATGGGAGGAGATCTCCTTGGGAGAGCGTATAGGACTAGGTACGGACTAGCAAACTGTATCAATAACTTTGTGGTGATTTTAGTTCTCTAATTTCAGTTGGTACACATCAAATTGGATGAAGTTGGTTAGGTTTACATTCTTTGTTTTACAGGATCCTATGGGGAGGTATACCGTGGGGAATGGCATGGAACTGTTAGTCTTCTGAAACACTTTCTTTTTCTTTTTAAGTATCTACTATCATTGTGGTCTCATTTGTTTCTTGTGAGAAGCCTTAAGATTTGTCTTGTAACTTTGTCTCTATTCTTGGGGCAATGATGCAGCTACTGAGGTTCTAACTGAGGCGCATCTATTGCAGATGCATCATGTGCATGAACTTATATATTGAACGGCTGAGTTTAACATCAAAGTTGTTATTAGATCATCTGTTATCGGGCTTTCTTTGATCCCTTTCTTGTTTCTAATTTGGCTTCACTTTAGTCTGACACGTGGCATATCATTTCTGTATAGATGTAGTCATAGTGGATCATACTAGAGCACTGGCTCTTGAAGATCAGGTTATGGGAGTTACATGTAGAATATAATTGAATATGATGCATAAATTGAGTCTTGTAATCCTAATGCATCCTTGATCGAGTTACTTTTAATAAAACTAGTAAACTAGCTGAAACTACTTATGCATAAGGTGTATTTTTTTCTGCTTTTTAAGATTGGGTTTGCACCAAATTGAGCTTGTTTACTGTTTGGGGTTTAGATGGCATTCACTTCACTATTTATTTCTTCTGCTTCAATTTGAAGGTATCCAATATGTTCCATATATCTTTTTCAACATGAACAATTTCACAATTGCAACAAATCCTGCAAATACATTCTGTGGATTGAAGGATTAGGATTTTTCTGCATTTATATCTCTGGTTAGTCTCCTATATACTAAAATAGGGTCTCGGCTTTGGAATATTTGGATCTTTCATCTTTTTCCTCCCAAATTATCTGTCAGTGTGCTGCATATATGTTTTCTTTCACTTCTTTGATCTGGGATAGCTAACAGCACTACGTAATGCTTCTCTATTGCTTTGATTTCTTTCCTCTAAATTGAGCTTAGTGCATTTTCAAACTTAAAGAAAACTTATGGTCTTCTCTACTGGTTAAATGTAGGAAGTTGCAGTTAAGAGGTTCCTAGACCAGGATATTTCTGGTGACTTGCTTGAAGAGTTCAAAAGTGAGGTACTAGTTCTGTTACTGCTGCTTATTGTACTGCTTCTGCTTCCGCTTCTCGCAAACTCAACATTCGCTGAATGAAAATGGTTAACTAGCAAACATGACCAATGTCCATGCAATACTATATGCCCTAATTTGGTACAGAATGAAGCATTAAATGCTTAGGATCATTTGGTCAACCATTGAAGAAGTATTGCGAAAAAGAATCTTGGACGGCTCAAATAAAGGTGGACCAATCCACATAACAAGAGGAGCTAACTTTTGTACAGATATTTGATCACCTATTTTTGATAGGATAACTAATATATTAAGAAATTCGACAGATAATTTAGATTAGAAGTAGATGAAGCAAAATTAGTAAGAAAATGTAGATAAAGTTGATACATATTCCATATTCATTGAAGAAGAAGACACAATTACTATTTACACCAGGAAAAAGCAGCCTCACTTCACCAGCATATCTACAGCAAGACCATAAATGGTTTTAAGATGTGAAGTGAAACTGTCAAGAACTGCTCTCTTGTATTTGGGTTAAATCAGCTGTGAGATGATTTGTCTTTAAGAAAAATAAAAGTAAAACATTGGGTCAAAGCCACCAAATAATATGAATTTCACAATGACGATTAGAGTTAAAAGGTAGACCACCACTGCGAAAGCAAGAGGGTTGAGCCCAAATATGGAAGCTTGACCGTGATCGATAGAATAAGTATGAGAGGAAGATGCATGGATCTCAGTATAGTGGTGCTTGCCAACGACCCTGCATTCTCTGAATCAGAAAATGAGGCTGGCTATTGCTGATGTTGCCTTATTTTGCACATTACTGTTATTGTTTGCCTACTTTGTAATTTTCAGGACTGCTACTGGCATAATAAACTATTTAAACTTTGTTTCTGAATTGCAAGGTCCGGATAATGAAGAAAGTTAGGCATCCGAATGTCGTTCTTTTCATGGGAGCTGTAACTCGTCCTCCAAATCTATCAATTATTTCAGAGTTTCTTCAGAGGTACGTTGCAATTCTTCCTGTTTCAATTTATGATTCAAGTAAGATCTTCTGAAAATTCTTATACTGGATCTGTAGCAGTGATTAGACAAGTGATTCTCCATTTCCTCGTTGAGCAGAAGTGACCAGCTACACCAAAAGGACCGACAACACGCGTTGCTTATAGTGGTTACTTGAATCTGTCAGTTTTAGACGTCACAAACTCATTTATCTGACGATTTGTTTTAATTTGTTCACAAAACAAGATGCTACATGACTTGGGATTGGATATGTGTTTGGCCTATTATGTTATTTTCGTATCCAGTTTGTAAAGAAAGGGATTTCCGAGACCTGGTCATTGAGCTTTTAGTATATTAGGTTTTAGTTTATATTAATGTCCTTCATTTCTACGCGCACCATTTCTTTAAGATCCCACTTGAAGTTTGTTCTAGTAGTGTTTTGCCTCTGGGAAACATTCCAAATTTAAGAAGTATCCTTAGTTGTTTTCATGTTTTTATTAGCGTTACTCTGTTGTTGACTCTTCAAGATCATTATGCTTAGGGGATTAAACCAGGATTTTTCCCTGCAGAGGAAGTTTATATAGGTTGATTCACCGGCCTAACAATCAATTAGACGAGCGAAGGAGGTTAAGGATGGCCCTTGATGCGGTATGATTTCATCACTCTCGTCCTTAATTAAAACTCAGCGAGCAGTCTAATTTCACTTGAATTACCTGGACATAATGTATCTTCACAAATAATTTTCAGGCCCGGGGAATGAATTATTTGCATAACTGTAATCCAGTTATAGTACACCGCGACTTGAAGTCCCCCAACCTGCTTGTTGATAGAAATTGGGTCGTGAAGGTGACTTATTTTTCTCATTACAAGCAAACAGTGAATCATGTTTCTATTACATAAATGACTAGAGTTTCCATTATCCTTTAGGTTTGCGATTTTGGATTATCTCGGATGAAGCATAGCACATACCTCTCATCTAGGTCCGCTGCTGGAACGGTAAGCAGTGTCAACGACTTTAGTTATATTTACTCTTGGCTTGGCATTTGACATTATTTTTCTTGATGTTTCGTACTTGTCTTTGTCTTTCGTTCTTGTCCTTGAGATCCTATAACCTGTCCATATGTTTCAACTAGTCATGTTCACCTCAATAATGCAGTGTTCACCCATCAATATAACTGTGATGGTGACCCTTAGTGAATTTCTTTGATGAATCGATTTGATCACCTTTTTCTATCAAAATAAAAACTCTTTTTTGCTCTATGAAAATTTAGAGATGTTTTCTTTTTGAAGGATTTTAACATACTGCTTGAGAAGTAGCCCAGGACACAGTATTTCTTTATTTGGTAGTCCTTGGTGGCAATCTTGAAGCATCTGCAACATCATAATCACTTTCTTTTTCATTAAGGATAAAGAAAATGATTTGTCATTACTAGGGGCAATGTGGAGATCCAAGTTAATCAGTAAAGACTGAATTTACATGTTTCCATGTCATCAATCTTACTGCTTGCTGTGAGTTCTCAAGTGTTTACTGCTAAACACATGAACATGCATACATCTTGCAAACCATATTTCTAGGTGACCATGTAGGTCGTTACCCTTCAAGAACTTCTCAATTAGTCTTATTACCTGCTGAGTGGCGCTCTTCATACTTTCTGCCTTCATTTCTGTCTCGTCCAGCCAGAATGTGAAAGCTTCAGAAACATTTCATATGCAAGTTCTCTATGGTACATTACTATGCTCCTTCCAGTTATTTGTATGACTAATATACTATCACTCTTCAGGCAGAGTGGATGGCTCCAGAGGTGCTGAGAAATGAACCTTCAGATGAAAAGTACCTCGTTTGTTTACCTTACAAATATTTGCTCCCTTTTTTTTGTTTCTGGTCATCCCATTCGTTTGTGACTGATGAAACCTGTCTAAATCTGTGACATGACACTCAGGTGTGATGTCTTTAGCTTCGGGGTCATATTATGGGAGTTGTCTACGCTTAAACAACCTTGGGGAGGAATGAATCCTATGCAAGTCGTTGGCGCTGTTGGCTTTCAGCACCGTCGGCTCGAGATTCCGGATGACATGGACCCTGCCATCGCGGATATCATCAAAAACTGCTGGCAAACGTGAGTATGTTTTGGAGAATTTATTTTTGGAAACCGTGTATAGTCCATTTCCCTAAGAACATACAGCGGTTTTAATCATCGAGGTTCAACTTTTACTGAGGAAAAATTTGCACTTTTCCTTTCCCCCTCCTCCTTCCCCATCCCCAAATGGAAAAACAAGGCCTTTCCCACTGTCCCTCTGGTATAACGGTTCCTTCCTTTTCACGGTTAATTTTGGTTAGACTATGTCCAAATCACTAGAATCACATAATAAGAACTTTTAAGATAATCGAACTGTAGCATGAGGCTGAAGCTTCAGTTACATGAAATAATGAAGCTCATGCTTTTGCAGTCGTAGTCATATTGGTAGTCAGTGCCTGATGTTTGGATTTGGACATTTGTAGAGATCCAAAGTTGAGACCAACGTTTGCCGAGATCATGGCTGCGCTGAAGCCCCTGCAGAAGCCCATAACTAGCGCCGCAATCCCGAGGCAAGTCCACTGATGAGCAATGAGCGTGACAGTGTCCAATTTGTTAGATGAGGTGTCTGGTCGAAGTAGCAGAATCATGAATTGAACGATGTTGGCACATCCCATTTCATTTTGGAGGCAATTTCTCCATTATCGGGAAACTACATGAAGATCGAACTTCTGGGGATGGTCAGTCCGATGCACGGCGATTTGGCAATTGTGATTTTCTCTTTCACTGTCTTAGTTTTGCTGCCTTCCACAAGTTTGTGAAATTCTTTGTACAGATATAATTTCTTGTTGTGTAATCAAATTCTTTCCTTTTTGCCTGTCAAATGAAAATAGCTCATCACATGATCACTCGTGGAGTTTACTAGAAAAGCATTTTTTCTCTATAGCTGATGTGATCAGAAGAGCAAGTAGCATGCCTTTGTGCAAGATTTTCTTTTTCTTTTTCTTTAAATGAATGCGAATTTCCATTTTTGATAGGTGAACTGTAAAGTCCGCGAAATATCTCGCTACTCTCACGGACCGGATAAGACGCCCATCGAAACCCCGGCGGTTGGGCCAACATGGTTATTTGCACCTGATGGTGCACGAGTTCGAGCGCACGGCAGTGCAGATGCTTGTCGCACGGTGGTGCCGATGTTAGAGAATCTTGCAACGAGCGTGTGAGCTGATCAATCATCCAGCGAAAGGAAGAGAGGTGGCCGTTTTCACATAACAATGATGCAATACAATTAGGAGGCTAGACTCGGTTTGTTTCATCAGATGAGCAGTAAGTTCAAAGATGGGGCGGGCTTCACAAATGCGTTCCTTATTTCAACGTGTCGGTATCCGCACACCTCGTTCTCAAAATTTCCCCCGTATCTTTATCTTCCTAAGGAAATGGATTACTCTTTAGAAGTTTAACATCCCGGTGATCTCGAAATCTGGACGACAACTTAAATGTAGCCTTTCAAAGACTTGTTAAGGTTCCTCCTATAAGGCGGACTTCATATATGCATTTTCTTATTTTAACGTGTCAATACATAACCCCAATTCTTACGAGATCTGGACTTGTTTCTGTGGGTCATACTTATGAACATGACTTTGCGTTTTCTTCTTTCCTTCCTTTAATTTTTGTGATTCTGGGTGTGAACGTACATGGCGTGTGAGAGAACAGGAAGACAAAAAAAAGTGGGCAAATTTCCATGAACTTTACAGGAACGAGCGAGGACCACGTATTTGTTGGTCCTTGCTGAGAATAGTCTTGTGAGTTCAAGCTGGAGTGTACAATGGGCCACGCATGCAAGCACCCGTCCACCAATCCCAACCACAAGCCCGCAAGCAAGGTGTAACGAGACAAACCAAAGCACCATCTTTCAAACCGGACATTTGATACAAGGAATGACATTCTCTTACCATATCGGGGGAAATTTACCAATTCGGTTTCAAACTTATTGCACGTACAGTATACCGATTAAGTCTTAAATCTTTTAATTTTGCTGAGGCGGTCTTGAAGCTTTGCGCAAAATTTTAATATGGTCATTTCGGTCAATTTGTCACCGGAAATTATCGACATGGCGGTTCACATAAGACGCAGTTTCAAGTGAAGTTGTCTCCATGTCACGTCAAATGGCCAATGATGATTAGACGCCATGCGAATAATTTCGAGCTATAATTGGCCGGAAGGATTAAATTAGAATTTCATAAATAAATAAATAAAATGTTTAGCCTTGCATTAGCAAAATTGAAAATTTTAAGATTGAATTGATATCCGTTTGTACAACAGGTTAAAAGATGGATTTGGTAACTATCCCTATAGTGATGCATGAAGCGATAATCCATGTCGCTCGCATCTCTCATCCTTCTTTAATGGCGACTCGTGAGCAATAACAAATACTCACCCGGGTAAAAATGGTCGCCAATTTCGAAGCCATGAGTTCGATTACGCCATGTGTGGAGAGATTTCTTGACTGCCCACCTCTCAGTAGAGTTACCTTAACGGGCTCGCCGACCATGGATCTTCGGATATTTTATTTTCTTGTCTGCCATACTCTAAACTCTCGACTCATTCTTAGACTTTTGCCTTGCTTTTTGGAGTCGAGACCTACATCTAAAACTAAACGTCTCCATCCCTGACTCACAAAAAAGGTAGAGTATCAAACTCCCCCGCCTCCCGCTTCTTAAGTAGGAAGGGTGACCACTGGAGCAAATTTTAGCGTGATTGATCTTCGGATTATGAACGGCGGAGATGAGAGGCACGAAACCTTTCTTTCTACCATAACGAGCGGGAGTCTCTTCCGTACTCGTACATACATATATATATTCTACGGGGAGCGGAGAAGGCGGTTGGATAACGGAGAGCGTCTGCGAAATTCAAACGTCCAGAGATTCGATCGAGAGAGAGCGCGCCGGCGACGCTCTCGGAGCTGGAGCTCCGTCGCCATGGCCGCCGTTCTCGACTCTCATTTCCTCGCTCTCACCGCCATCGTCACCGTAACACCTCCCTCTCTCTGTCTCTCTGTCTCTCTCTGTATGCCCGCCGGCGTTTGCTCCTCCGACGTCCGGCATCGCTCTGATTGCGGATTGTTGCTTTGGCGCAGGTGTTGTACCAGTCGCTGTTCTTCGTCGTCACCGCTCTCCTCAAGTTCGATAAGGTCACCGATTTCGCCGGTCAGTGATCGATCGCCCCCCGCGCTCTCTTCTCCGTCGTCGGATGTTGAGCAGGATCTGTTGTTTGTAGAATAGTTAAGAGAACTGGCGTGAAAACTGCGACGAAAATTAGTAGGACGACAAGAAGTGACTGTGATTGCATTGTCATGGAATTCGTGATTAGTTACTGTTGCATCGGCGGAGCAATGGTGGTTGATGCTTTCTGTTTCGATAGGATTAGACCTCGAGCTGAGCGACCAGTCTCGTTTGTTTTAACGTTAATAGCTCGATGGATGCTGATTCGGAATAGTGCTTTCTGTTTTGATAGGATTAGACCTCGAGCTGAGCGACCGGTCTCGTTTGTTTTGACGTTAATAGCTCGATGGATGCTGATTCGGAATAGTTAGTGAACTGGCGCGAGACTTTCGAGGGAATTATTAGGGAAAACGAGTGATGTGAGGTTGGCTGTTCTTCTTTGAGCGGCGAATGAGAAGTAACAGTGATTGCATTGTTATGGAATTTGTGATTAGTTACTGTTACATCGGCAGAGCAAATGGCGGTTGATGCTTTCTGTTTCGATAGGATTAGACCTCGAGCTGAGCAACCAGTCTTGCTTATTTGGACTTTTATAGCTCGATGGATGCTGATTCGGACGCGTGTGAGAGAGAGTTATACACTGGATGACTAGTGAATGTGTTTGTTTTTGTTGGTTTCAGGAAGCACCAATTTTGTCATCATTGCTCTGTTGACACTGATTCTCAAGGGGACATGGCATTTCAGACAGGTACTTTCTCCATCTCTTGATGATCATGCAGCCGATGCTCTCTCTGTCTCTCCTAACATCGACATCGAAAATCGTCGAAAACATGTATGAGTCATGACTGTAGTCACTAGGATACAGTTCCTTTATCACAGTAGTGTGTCATGAAACTCAGGTTGATTTCAAGACTCTCTTTGGCCATGTCGCGAAAGCCTCGATTATCAGTAGATAATTCAGATAGCATAAAGGACCTGCATGCAACCTGCCAATTCCCTGCTTGACAAGAATCAGTCTTAAAACTTGCCTTCTTGAATACAACTAGCCTTGAAGTAAAAGTAACCTTAAAACGCACATGCTGAGGGTGATGAAATCAGAAGGAGGTTGTCATGAATGATTTTTTTTTTTTTGGTCGGCTGTTGTCACGAATGATTAACTACATATGAAGTACACATTTTGCAATCCTAACCTGGTAGTTATAATTGGGAGGACCTTGATGTTGATGAAGCTGTTTGGCAGCGATCTTCAAGATATGAAATGGAACTTTGGGACTGATGTGGATGAACTCCATTTTAGGAGTAACTTGACGAGAGAAGGACCAGATAAGACGAGCTGAGGATGCTTCTTAAATATTATCTGCATTTCTGGAGCCATGTTTTTCAGTAGATATTTGTTTGCTGAGGTTGCCTGGCTTTGTGCTGTTGCAACTGCAAGCCCTTTAACGATGTTCAGTACTTAATGGAATTCTGTCTGTTTGCCCTCCTTAAATAATTCCTTTGCTACTTATTGTTAGGAATTTTAGGTATTTGGATTTTAGGTTTACCAGTACTAAATTTGAGAGTTTTTGCTCAACAATGTGGCTGCAATTTTTACTGAATCTTACGATGCTGGTGACAATGTAATTTCAGGTGGTACTGACAATTCTTGTAGTAATCTGGGGTCTCCGACTGGGTCTCTTTCTGCTAATGAGGTATGAATCTGGTAGAACAAAGGAAAATGCAACTTTCATTTACTTATAGATCTTTCGAATTGATAGTAAAGCTAGGGGCATCTAGACAAGAACACTGCACTTGGGAGAGAAAGAGTGTTCTTGCATGATTTACTCTTTATGATGTGCTCTCTTCTTTTGCATAATCAAGACAAAAAACGGACTTGTAAGTACACTGCTAGTTGTGAATCTACAATTTGATTGTTGCAAAAGCACTCTTATGAGGCCTAAATACTTGCTTTCTTGTATCATGGAGAATTCACTCATTGAACATATTAAATCCCTGGATAAATGCTTTACAAATCTAGTGGAATGGCTGAACTGGTAGGCTCTGCCTCCATGGGATATTACATGTGAGCCCGCAGCTCTATGTTGGCACCAATAAATGTACTTAATGTTTTCATATGATTTTGTTCTCCCATCAAAACATATGGTTCTCTTATTCTTTCAATGCCAGTGCATGGGTTGTTGGTTCAAAACAAATACCGTTTTCCTGTAGAGTACAGCCTGGGTTTGTACTTTATTCCTTTTATAAACATGGTGTTGAATTACATCAGAATTCTAAAGTGGGGGGAAGACAGGCGTTTTGATGAGATGCGCAGCAATTTGGGGAAATTGGCGGTTTTCTGGATTTTCCAGGTTTCCCAGCTTCATATTTAAGTTGGTCTATGATTTTTAAAAGATGCAAGTTAGCATTTAACAACAAGTATTGGGATGTTGATTTGGTGTCCATTTATCACAGGCTGTATGGGTTTGGACAGTTAGTTTACCAGTAACTGTGGTCAATGCGAGCAACAGAGATCCACCTCTCCAAGCTCAGGACGTAGTGGGGTGGATTATGTGGTTTCTGGGTTTTTTGGTCGAAGCAGTAGCTGACCAGCAGAAATTGAACTTCAAGAATTCTGCTGAAAATCGAGGGAAGTGGTGCAATATTGGACTCTGGAGTTATTCTCGGCACCCAAACTATTTTGGAGAGGTGAGTCCTGCTATTACCATAAAGAAATTCCTATTGTAAGTTGTAACTAAGCACAAAATATTGCAGTGATTTTCATATAAGATTTGTTAACTTGTTTTAACTTTTGATTTAGATCCGTCATGCATTTTGCTTTATATGAATTATTTTATCCAGATTTTACTATGGTGGGGAATCTTTGTGGCTTCTACCCCTGTACTTGAAGGTTCTGAGTGGCTTGTAATTTTCGGCCCAATCTTCCTCACATTGTTGCTTCTGTTTGTCAGTGGCATTCCTTTACTCGAGGTCTGGTTCTCGCCTTTCATTTAATGAACATTCATTTTGGGTCTTTCAGTTTTTTTTAACTATTCTTTGAATTAAATGAGAACAGGAATCGGCGGACAAGAAATATGGCAATGCGGCTTCATACAGGACATACAAAAGAACAACTAGGTTGGACTCTTCACTTTCCTCACTTTGAGATTGATTTGGGAAAGATAACTAACTTGTTTAAATCTGTTTCTTTTCAGCCCTCTCATTCTGCTTCCTCCATCAGTTTATGGGAACCTGCCTCTATGGGTCAAAACAAGCTTTCTCTTTGAGTTTCCTTTGTACAGTCGGAGTCTTCCTGATGAGGGTGTGAACTGGTGAGGCTACAAAGTATCACGTAGATTAGCTCATAAGATGTGTTGTAACTCGCTCTTTCGATGCATTGTATTTTCAGACAATTTCTATCTGCATGTCTGTTGATCGCTCTTGATACCGTATGTTCATACATATAAATGATTGCTCTGGACAAAGGATGCAACTCGGTTAATCATGCGTTTCTCTATTCCGCTAATCCATTTCTCTGTACGGGTATTGTCGGTAATGTCTGCAAGGTGACTCCTTTTATAGCCACATATTCTTATTGTGCTTTTCTAACAGAGGCTTTGTTTATGTATGGTTTTTTTAATTATTTATGTTTCAATTTTTTGCTCCATTACTGTAAGAGGAAAACTTCTTTTATCCTTTTGTTTACCACTCTGCTCTTACTGCACATTTGTCACACATCTTGATTTCACATGCTTAGCTTATTTGTTCTTCGTAAGAGCCAGTGGAAAATGGTAACAATTGTACAGCTATATCATTCGTCAATTGTTAGGGTGATGTTCATAATACTGTGTCATGTAGTAATGCTTCTCTGCATAGCCTCGTCCTCCTTTACCTATACATGTTTTAGTTCAAAACCACCGCAAAAATTGAGAAGCAGATGAATACAACGTTAATATAGAGAGCTAAAATCTAGTGATATCCAAAGTTCAGCATGTTAGTTTGCAGAGCAGCAGAAGGTTCTAGAAGTTTTGATATCAAGTATCACTGTCATGACATTTAGTCTGGCTTGATGGATGTTGAGTAATTCTGAAGTTTGGATGTCTTCGATGTAGCGCCTTCTATGCTAGCTAAGTGCAAGCTTGCAAACTAGTTCAACAGCTGAGATTTGAATGCAACTACAGTGCTTTAATTGCCTAGGGGATATACTTTCCCGTGCATAAATGCACTGTTCTGAAGGCATTTACCATCCTTGCAAGGTATAGAGAAAATCGGGCAGAAGCGGCGAGACTGAAGATGGGTTAGCATGATGAATTCTTGGAGTAGTGATATCCATCTTTGCAGAGATTTGAGGTACTTGCATTCATCTGATCGATGTTTGATGTCTGTAGTAAAACAAAGCGGACTTTTAGCAATGTCCATCATCTCGACTTACTTACTCAAGTTCGTCTGATCGATTTTCTTTCTCACTCTTTATGGTCCAAGATTGTTCACACTAATCTCTTTTGTCGCTAGTTCTGGCTCCCGCCAACTCCAATAGATTCACGTTGGCTACTTTTCTGTATCATCTGTCGGGGTCATGTTGGCCTAACAAATTTGTTACCATCACGTGTGGCAAAATTATGATCAATTCTCTTCTGGCCAACTGCAATTATGGTCAGTATATTTAGGTTTCTTGATTAGCCAAAACCTGAAGGAACGTCAAACATATGGCTGCAACCATGGAAAGGTGAAGATGTGAAGATAGTTGATCCTAACGTTTTAGGATTCTATTTTGGTTGGAATTGCTCCATTATGACATGATGGTAGGGCGAGTGATTCTAGATTTACTAAAATTATTTATAAAATTAAGATACTCGGTCCCGTTTGTATTGCGTAAAATGAATGATTCGAAAAATATTTTTCTAAAAATGATTGTATATGTCGCTTACAAAAATGAATAAAGGAAAATATTTTCATTGTTCAGGAAAGTTTAAGATATAAAGTGTTGTTGATAATGTAAGCATTTTTCATTAACTAATTATTTCAAGTGATATAAGTGATATTTTTTGAAAAATATTTTCCAAATTATTCATTTTCCACAAAACAGATGGAGCCTAACTAAAATAATTAGCAAAAAAAATATTTTCATTATCAATAATATTTTATGTCTAAACACTTTTGTTGAGGAAGATAATATTTTCCGTTTATTCATTTTTATAAACGATACAAAAGATCATTTTATGGAAAGTGTTTTTCAAATAATTCAATTTTGCAAAACATATGCATAATAAGTGATGTGGCTTTCGCCAAGAAATTCAAAAACGTGCGATATGTTTACTAACAAATCAAAAATTTATTGTATCTCTCAACATATCAATTTTCTATTCTCTGCCCTTTACACCTAGCGAACAGAGAAAGTACTTAGAGAGTCATAGACCTATTGCACTATTGCTAATTCAATTATAAACCTTTTAATTTGGTCAATTGAGAACCTTTCGATAATTTGCCAATAAAATCGATTCGCCAAATTTTGGCTGGAAATCTCTGATATGGATGCCAATCCTACGTGGCACGGCCGTTGTTGACGTGGACAATTTTTATAATTTTTTTTCTTTTTTCTTTTCATTTTTCGATCACTGGCCATCTTTAGTGGCTAGGCGAGAGCAAGCACCGACAAAGGCCCCCTTGCCAAATCAGGCAAGGCCGACCCTCGCCAAGGCAATGTGGCCTCGCCCAGGCCAGGGTGGCCTCGTTGGGCGTTGCCTAATCGAGTGGGAGGTGAGAGCCTCGCCTCACCCTTGCCCAAGTGAGGCCCGACTAGGGTCGGCCTAGCCAGAGGGGCCATTGCTGATGCTCGCCCTCACCTAGGTGAGGCCGACCCTCGCTTGTGACGGGCGAGGGTGATCTCGCCGACCATTCACAAAAAGAAAAGGAAAGAAAAAAAAAAAGAAAGGGAGAAAATTCAAAAAAATTTTAAATTTTTTCCAAAAATCATTAACATCGGTGTCTGCTATACCACATAGGACGACCGGCGTTCACGCCAGCGATTTCCGACCAAAATTGACCAGATGAACTTCATTAACAAATTGTTAAAATATTTATGACTAAATTGGCCAGATTGTCGGACTCAAAAAAAATTGACCAAATTGAACAACTTAAAACTAAATTGCTAAAAGCACAATTAGTTTATGACTTTCTTAGTAATTTCCCTTGAGCAAGCACTACTAAGGAATGGGTGATTTGGGGTATGGTGGGGCTAGTGGCCTCTCTCAATCTCAACCAAAGCCCTATCCAGTAGACAGACTTGAACTGGCCACATGAAATTCTAAGGCCCAACTCGTGGGGCTAGGCCCAAGATCAAGCCCGAAGCCCATCCATATACAAAACACAGGGTAAAGTACCAAGAAAGTCATAAACCTATTGAATTGGTACTAATTCAATCATAAACCTTTCAATTAGACCAATTTAATCCTAAACATTTTTACATTTGTACCGATTCAATCCATTTAGCCAATTTAGGCCGAAAATCATTGACGTGAACGCCGGCTGTCCTACATGGCACGGCCGGCGCTGACGTGGACATTTTAAAATATTTTTTTGAATTTTATTATTAAAATTTTCTTTTATTTTCCCTTTTCTTTTCTTTCGTTCCTCTTCCCTTCGCTAGTCTCCATGATGACCAGCGGAGGCCGCCGGCGATCGGCAAGCCCTTGTGGCCACAGGAGAGGCCAACCCTTGGCGGGGGCTAAACGAGGTCGTCCCTTGCTAGATCCGGAGGCCGACGAGGGCGTATCGGCCTTTGGCAAGGGCTGGGCGATGGTCCCCTCGCCGGACCTGGCAAGAGGCAGTCTCGTCTAGCCCTCGCCAAGGGCTGGCCTCTCCTGTGGCTAGCCAGGGCGTCTCGGCCCTTGCCTTTGCTAGCCGCTAGCGGCCTTCGTTGGTCATCGTGGAGACTAGCGGAGGGAAGAGGAAGGAAAGAAAAAAAAAAAGGAAAGAAAAAAAGAAAAAGGGAAAATAAAAGAAAAAATAAAAAAAAATTCAAAAAATTATTTTAAAATGTCCATGTTAGTGTCAGTCATGTCATATAAGACGGCCGGCGTCCACGTCAACGATTTCCGGCCTAAATTAATTGGATGGACTAAATTTGCACAAATGTAAAAAGGTTTTGGATCAAATTTGTCCAATTGAAAGATTTATAATCGAATTAATATCAATATAATAGGTTTAGGACTTTTTTGTTACTTTTCCCACAAAACACGTTTGAAATCCATAACAAGAAGTCAGCTTAGGTCGACGGGCTTTCTAGTACAAGGCGTCTCGGCCCTTGCCTTTGCTAGCCGCTAGCGGCCTTCGTTGGTCATCGTGGAGACTAGCGGAGGGAAGAGGAAGGAAAGAAAAAAAGAAAAAGGGAAAATAAAAGAAAAAATAAAAAAAAATTCAAAAAATTATTTTAAAATGTCCATGTTAGTGTCAGTCATGTCATATAAGACGGCCGGCGTCCACGTCAACGATTTCCGGCCTAAATTAATTGGATGGACTAAATTTGCACAAATGTAAAAAGATTTTGGATCAAATTTGTCCAATTGAAAGATTTATAATCGAATTAATATCAATATAATAGGTTTAGGACTTTTTTGTTACTTTTCCCACAAAACACGTTTGAAATCCGTAACAAGAAGTCAGCTTAGGTCGACGGGCTTTCTAGTACAAGTCCGACCAGTTTTGAAAATTTTCTTATTAAGCCAAGCCCAATGGGCCCAATCTCGGAAGCCCATCCACATACGATTGGCCCGTTAGGCCCATGGACTTGTCTAATTGCAAAACCGCTTGCCCAAAAGAAATTGCGAGGTTCGATTTTGGGGGCAGAAATTACGAGCGAGAGAACAAAAATTAAAGGGGGATGCGGAAACTTTCCGCAGCTACATCGGTCACTCTATACTTTGTGAGATCTAAAATATACATACATTTCTCTCGTATTTCGTTTATTAAAGGCCAGAAAGAAAAATTGCATAAGCATGGCCCAGAAACCAGTCATAAAGCAATGCGCCTCTAAAATGCTGAGGCAAAGATGTGTCAAATAATCATCAGAAACGTCGTGCGCTCACCGAATCACACGCCTGAGCTGTTCATGTTTTCCAAGGACATGACGGCGCCAGATCGGGCGTCGGGCGTCGGCTGTGTGTGGGACGTGAAGATGTAGAACACCCACAGGTGGAGGCACACGACGTAAACGAGAGACCAGATTTTGGCTGTGGGGTTCCTCTTCAGGAACACAGAACCGGCCAAGAAAATGGCGTCCAGCTGCCGGAGCAGCAGGTGCAGTTGCTCCCTCCCTGACCGGATTTTGTCTTCCAGCGAGGGCCTCGTCCTCGAATTGAAAAGCTCCCAGGTCCCCGACTCTATGTCCTTCAAGGGAACGCCGGAGAAGTTGTCCACGTTAATAGTCGAATGGCCCTCGTCAAGCATCCTCGAGACCGTCTGTGGACACAAAAGCACTGATCTTAGAAAAACCTCAATCTAATCGACTAATTGTGACGTGAGAAATATAGGCTCCTAGATGGTAAGGTACCTCAATCCTGAAAACGAGAGTAGCCTTTTCCGAGGATAAAGCTTCGACCTGTTATAACATAGAAGTTCAGTAAGCCAGGCCAACGAATCAATTTCAGCAAACAAGTTCCTTAACACACACTAACCTAATGAATTTCTGCATGATGAGGCAAAAGTTTGGCTGACAGATTGGCTTACGTGCTTTAGCATTTTTACCCAACTGAACTAATTAAATAGGCCTCCTTACCAAAAAAAAAACTAATTAAATAGGCCTTGTAAAAAAAAAAAAAACTAATTAAATAGGCGTGGTAATTTTCTAAGTAACCTAACTTTGGAGCAGATTTGTTTTTGGTCATTCATTTAAAGAGCCACAAGCTCGCCAAATATATAGCAGTCAGTCAAAGCTGGGTTAAATAAACAAAGAGCTAGTGAAAGCATCAACTTTCGTTCGTAATTTATGTTTCCCTTTACTCAAGTAAATTTCCATGCGACATACTGTGGAATATCATCCCTTCAGAGTCTGATGGATGGGTGAAACTTTTTCCATCTAGAAAAGCATAAGGATCTTCTCCAGTGTATGTGCAATGAGCTATGTATTTCTCTCCGAAGTCCGACATACTACACATCGATTAGCCAAGCAGTAATTTAGAAGCGAGAATACCACATTCAGGCATAGACTGGTACCATTATGACCATCTTCATCGCTTTAACTGTTTAGGATGTTTGAACAAACCTGGGCTTGTTTCTGAATTAGATGGTCAGTTAGCTGACCCAGCCGTCGCTTCAGCTCAAGTTCTACTTCCGTTGGCTCCTCCATTTCCTTCCTTGTCATTTCAATGTTTGCTTCAATACTCTTGGCCTGGATGTGACAAAAGACCGATACTTAAACATTTGATTCACAGCTGCCAAGCATGAAAACTGGGAGGATACAAATGGCCATGCATGGGACAATTACTTATATGATTATTTTACGGAATAACACAATTCTGAACCATCGGGCATTCAATCCAACTAAATGAGATGTTTTAGGTGTGGGGGAGAGTATGGCTTGTGCATGACCATTCGGACCATGGGATGTGCATTGCATCCCTTATTCTTTGAAAAAGAATAATTTCTCCCCAGAGACCAACTATACTGTCATTCCATTAGGACTTCCGAAAATTACTCGAGCGCATTACATGATGACTGACAACTTCCAAAACATGTAGCGGACCTACTTCCTCTTTTGACATCTCTCCCGTGTCTTTCTTAGGTAAGTCCTAAGTCCATAGCATTTAGACTGCCAGATGTGAATTGTAAAGAATTTGCGGAATATGCTTTATATTTTAACCAAACCATCCAAGAAAGCTAACCTTTTCCTCCAACTTCTCAATTTTGTCAGCAAGAAAAGCACACTCTGCCTCAAGTAGCTCTCGTTCAACTTCCAATGCCTTCGTGGAGGCTAACTGTGTAAGCAAATCAGTAAGCAAGCTCAAGATTTAAGCCAAAATCAGTGTAAAATGATAAGGAAAGCAGACAGCTGTAAGTACTTGCAGGCCTTGCACCCCAAATCATTAATCCATATGGCTCACCTGCTTTACAGAGGTTCCTGTTTGATGGCTGTTGGAGATCCTCCTCCTTAGTTCTGCAGTAAAAGAGGGGCAGATTTAGTAGTGTGAAACCATAGGATTAAATGGTGTACATATGCAAGGACAGGCATTTCTCTGAGAGAGAGAGAGAGAGAGAGAGAGAGAGAGAGCTATGCAACCCACTCCGAGGCAAGGAAAACAGGTGTTTGCCGAATATAGCAAATCCAGGCGATATCTCAAAACTATGGAACTGATGGCTTCAATTATATATCTCATAAAATTGTAACTTAAGTGCAAAAATGTCTGTACAACTCGTCAAGCTGCTTCTGACTATAAGTCCCATGTGGAGCTAAGATTACTTGAGGATCCCCTGCCACAACCCTGAGTCTATAAATAAACCTTCTCTAAATGTAGCTCCACCGAACTAATGCATGTCTATGTGCTAAACATACCTTTCTAACCAAAAAGCCAATCAGACACATAATGCTTCAAACATGAAAGTGGAATTGTGTCCATCTCTCTTCAAACAAATATCTCACCAGCACTAAATTAGTTCACACGAGCAATGGTCAGATAACCATTTGATCAGATGGACCAGTAAATGCAAAACAGGAAAACACGATTAATGAATTTGAGATCCAAGCCTAGATGACATGTGCAATACTCGTGTGAACTAGGTGCACGTGAGCCCAGTGGATGTCAACCATTGGATCACATGGGTCCCACGTGTTTAAACAGTTCAGATTCAATGGGCTTATGAACAGCGGGACCATACAAGAATTTTGCAGACAACATACCCTCGTGGGCTACTTCTTTTAACTCAATTTGTTGCCGAAGTTCGGCCACCCTCTTCACCTGGTCAATGAGAAAAGTGTAGTAAGAGTTCAACCACTATGGAGACCAAACAATGAGTTTATAGAGGACCCTAGCATCTCCAATTCAGATTTCCACTCCAACAGTTGAGTCACTGCTCTCTCAAGTATCTCCATGTCCTGCTTATGTTTCTAATAACCGACAGACAATGGCTTCAACCGACTAGAACAGGAAACTTTCCCTTTATCGGACATAATGTATCTATCCGGAGTGACCTATACCTTTAGTGGTTCAAATTTGACTCTTATTTCATGACCAAAACTTCGTTTTTTTGGTAGAATGCCCAAGCCCCACTTAAAATCTTCAAAAAGTTACACATATTAACATTTAAAATTGCATAAGAATTTTCATATTTCCTCGAGTTTATGGAACAATTAATTTGAGTTGCCTATACGGGTACTATCCATCATACCACATTTTACTTTATAACAGAGATATCTACTGTTGAATGTTCATCTATCAAGAATAGCTGTCCAATTAAATTTACTTGAACCGGACCATCAATAAACAAGCAGAGTTATGCATCAACACAGCAAAGAACAATTGCATTAATTCATCCAGATCAAGTACCGCCGACCAAGATCTACAATAGAAAAAAGACGTTGCTCCAACTACATGAGCAAACTAAGTCAATTGTCTATAGACTTAGAAGAAAGAAATTCGGTTAACTAAATCAACTTGAACAACACGATACCTCTACTTCAAGATTCCATTGTCCAGTTGCAAGAGATTTGGCTAGGTCAGCATTTGCTGTCTGCAAAACCCATTTCAACTTCAGTAACAATAGAACCAAAATATCTACCTAGAAACAACAAATTAATAAGGCATTTACTCCTGCAAAACTTTTGCTATTAACCAGACAAAGATTGAGAATGGAATTTTTTGAGGAAATGCACCTAATTAATCTTTAGTACCTCCAGTTTAGCTAACCGAGCAAGGGCCTCCATTCTAGTATTATTGTGTTTCTGCTTTTCCACCTCTACAGCTTCCATAGTCTCAATCATTGTTGTCTGCAGCTCCGAAGCCTGCATCAAGATAAAGCTTAAGTGTCTTAACCTATAGTTAGAGTCAGAAAATAGCAGGGACTGATAAAATAGAAACTTAGAGATACTAGACCTGCCAGAGAATCAGATATCATTAGCTAGAGGACCTTGAAACCGAAACTTTAGCCTATGTTTAGAAACTCTAGCGGAAGAGAAAATGGGATGAAAATGCCACAAATTTTTAAGTTCCCCTTTACAATCTTCTAAAAAAAAATTTAAATAATTTTCAACTTTCCACCTCAATTTTCATTCTTCCCAATTTTCCTTTCTATTGCAAACATAGCCAGTCACTGCTGAAAAAATTGCTACAGCAACATATGTTTTGCCAGAATGGGTAAAAAAACCGATGAAAAATGTTGTGTACTTGGATGGTTAGCCAAGCATGTGCATAAATGATCCTTCGACAAATCATTAGGAAATCAGCACTATTTGCATATAGTTACATCGTTGGGCACTGTATCGAATTCTTTGATACTCTTTTCTTTTTTCTCAGCTTGTGTGTTTTAGAACGAGTTCAGTATGTGCAGTCCAAAGCTAGGAGAAAATTGATACGAACTGGCAAACGATAATGGTGCATTTTTCTCTCATTCAAGCACAAAAGTTTGGTGAGTTCAAACCAGCTAACAAGACTTGATTGCAAAGATCAGTGGAACTTGGGCTGAGTCTGTTCATTCAATAATTGAAAGGAGTCGGAAACAAAATCAGTAACTTCCATATCAAAGAAAACATGTCCCCCCAATTACAGGAAAAGATTGTAAAAGCAATCATATGCAGATAATATAGAAGACATGGATTAAAACAATTTCAGCAGCAGCAACAAATCCATAACTATATGGATAATATAGCCAGCAGAAGATATACCTCTTTCACTTGTTGCTTTGCTCTTTCTTCGATTATTTTCTCCAAACTCTGCTTCTCTCCCTCCAACCTTGCAACCATATTCTCACGTTCTCTAATGGCCTCAACAGCCTTAGCTGCTGCTTTCTCAGCGAGAATCTTCTCCCTTGTTTTTCTTCTCTCCTCTCTTTCCCGTTCATCTTCACTCTCAGAATCAGATGCTGAACCAGATGTAGTCTCTGAGGCCGAACCAGCATCAAGATCTCTAGGAAGAGAAGTGCCCAAAGTGCCCTGTACCCCATGACCATCTTTATTAAATCCTACCTTCAATTGAGAAGCAGCATCAACAGCACCGATTGGTAGTACTGTGGAACCACTGCCATCTACTAAACGAGAGACATTCTCCTGAAGGGGGACAACATTCAACTGCCTAACATTCTCCATACTTTCCTCAAGGGCCGGTTTAAGCATCGTATTTCCTTTTGCAATGTTCTTATCCAAAGCTTGTTGCCCGACGAACTTCCCATTATTTGCTGAATTAACATCTGAAGTCATTCTCATGCCTGCAGAATCAGATAACCCAGAGTCTTCCCCATCGCCGGGTTTCCCATTCAACTTGTTGTCCCTAAGAACGCCCGATCTCCTAGATACTTTCGCAACAGTATTACTGGTCTTCTGGTTCCTCTTCAGCTCCGTCGACATAGAATTAGAACCGAAGCTCCCCTGCCTCCTGTAGTTATTCTTACCGCCGACAACCCCCCCAGGCAACCCATTGCTACGTTTCCCAGGGGAGGCCGATGGCGGATTATGTGTACTCAATAACTCGGTCCAGTCGCCGTCGGTAACATCGGAGTTAGGCGTTGGACCGGGTTTCGGGCTTGAAGCGCTCGCAATCCCCTTATTACTTTCATGGCGGCTAGTCACGCTATTGCTGAAATCACTAAACAATCTACCTCCATGGTCGCTGCTATCCGGCGATTTCTTCTTCAATTGATCCTTCAAAGGCACTGAGCCTCCACTCCTCGCCGGAGCATCCACGCCTAGACCATCCGATTGAGGCCTCTCGTCCTTACGGAGCGACTCGGCTGCTTGCTGATCGATCTGATCACCAGATCAACAACTAAAATTCAGTTTGAAGAAAGAACAATTCACATTCTAAGGCAAGACGATAGTGGAGCACAACCAAACGAAACCAGGTAAATTCAACAACCGAAGTACGGGAATGAGGAAAGAGCAAGACATGAACATCAATCGGGAGAGATCTGGAACTGCATTGACTCGACTCGAGAGTCAAAATTCGAGCCAGATCGAGGAAGATCAAGCCATCCGGCGCAGCGATAAACCAAAACGGAGCACGCAAATCCGCTTCCGGCCGAAGTGAGAGGCATTTACCTTCTGAAGAATGCTCTCGGCGGCTTTGAGCTTGGAGGTGAACCAGTCCGACATGTCGGCGGAGACACTCCTCCTCTTCGGATCCCAAAGCTCAGATGCAAACCGAGCGACGGAGCGACTAGAGAAGGAGACGAGAGAAGGAATGCAGCGCGCGCATGGCGGCGGAGCTCGCGGTGTCGACGGAATCGAGCCGCGGAGCGAAGACGAGAGAGGCCGAACGGAGGCGGCGCGCTCGCACCGCAGCAGCTCCCGCCGACGGGAGCTCGCTCGATGACTCGGAAACGCGCCGGCGATCCGAACGGAAAAACCGGCGCGGGGTTCTCTACCGGGCGGTGGATGACGGGGATCGCCGCCGCGGGATCAGTGGTGGTCACCGGCGAGAGATCGCTGGCGCTCGGACGTTCGTATCGGTTTTTCCATTACTCCACACGCGCACATCGGGAGGAGGCAAGCAGAGAGAAGTGGGTGTTTCGCACGTGCGGCGATAGGGAACGATTGACGAAGGGGATGAATAGAGAAATGGGCCGGACTGGGCTCGCGCATGGGCCCATCTGGGCCGACCCGATTAATTTGTCTTTCATACCCGATTGGGTTCGATTCCCCCGCAAAAAAACCAAAAAAAAAAGGTGTGAAGTCTCAAATTTGATTATTATGGCCAACTTACAAAACAATTAGTGACAAGAAGAATAGACATTGCGAATTTTTTATTTGGACACACAATATAGACAAGCACTTACATTATGAATTGCACGCACATCACTTTCGTCTTGAAAAAAAAAAGAGATATCCGATGAATCGGGGTTAAGCTCCATTCGAGTTTTTCCCAATAAGATGTTCTTGGCTAGTTCGGTTACATATTTGGTTACGTTGGTCATGTTCTAGTCATTCATTTGCTTCCCTGGATGCTCTTTTTTTTCCAAATTAAAAGAGGAGAAGGAAAGGATCATGATGCGATGTGAACACAAAAATTAGATTTAAAATCTCTCCTGTTCTCTTCAATCTCTGAGCACACTCTTATTGGATCGCTATCTTACTAAGTTTATTACTTGTTGATGACAGGGTCTACGAGATGACTCCGCTAAAATGGAAGAACTCAAAAAAGAAGGAACGGGTAATTTATTCGTTAAAATTACAAGTTACGTTTTTGGAGTTGTAAGTTGTTGGATACACTTTTTGGAAGAGCAAAAGACTTCCCCGAGTTTTGAAACTGATGGGAGAAGAACTTCATTATTCTTTCAAAGTGGAGCATTGGCATGATATAGCTCTTCGCACAGTCGATTGAGAAAGGTAAATTTCGATGCACGCTTGAGACCTTAAAATTTGTTGTAAGGATTAAGATCCTCTCTACATCGCCTCCTCAGACTATCAACCTTCTCAATGCTTTCATGCTTTCATGCATAACTTTTCCAATTGGTTCCTCAATTGGCTTCTTGGACACTCTTTCTAGGAGAGAGTAGATGGCCTTCTATTTGAACACGTAAGATGGCCGGCATCCACATCAGCAATTTTCGATCAAAATTGATCGAATAGACTCAATTTTCAAAACGTGAAAAAATTTGACTCAATTGACACAATTAAAAGATTTAGAACTGAATTGGCAAAAATACAATAAATTTAAAACTTTTTAGACAATTTTTCCTCACTTGAACCGACCACCTAAGATCTGCACGATATTTGGGAGATGGAAAACTAAAAATAAATATATGAACAAATAAAAGCTAAATCGCTATCTGCCCTCTCCATTCATTAGGCTAATCCTTGGAATCCGTCGATCATTCCAACCAAAAAGTCCTGACTTTTAAGAAATGTACAAGAGGGGAGAAATTGGTGTGATCCGCCTAAATCGTGTCGACCATGTTCCCACATTTTATGGCATGCGCACGCCATCCGCTTTAATCATGTGACCAACCAGACATTTCAACAGATCCTTCCCACGCCTGTACCGACAACACATTGATCATGATGCCCGAAAATCGAGCTCGAAACTTTCGGTCCGATTCTTTCGCTCATACCCCATCGAGTCAAGAGCCGGAGTTCGGCCCCATCGAGTGGGAAACGGGGCCGACATGCAATGTGCGAAGTCTAATTCCCGGCAACTTAAATTTTGGTCCGTCGCCTCTATTCACATCACATGAGATTTAATTTAAGAATCAGACAGGCATGTATGCTCAATGTATGCTCGGCCTTCACACGCATTCGATCACATCGTTTAATAAGATTTAAACCGACTGGTACGAATGGGATCGATGGGACGAACAGGATGATCCGTGTGAATCGCTCGTTCACGATGAAATCAGCGATGAATCAAATAAGGTTGGCCAAGGCAAAATGTGGAACCGATCGAGCAAAGGATTCAAATTCAATGACAAAAGTGAATCAAATTCGAATAGTCGTTCCAGATCAGCGAAATCCGAGTCGCCGGAGGCGTAGATCGTAACGAAAACAGTCATATGATGGCCCATCGGTATCGTTTTCTAGTAGTCTGTGTAATCGAAAAGTGTTAAAAAATCAAATGTCAAACCAGTCAGAGAGAGATGCAGAACGGGGACGGGATCATCCGTCATCAGTTATTACCGGGACCTTTGGAAGCCATCATCTTCTTGAACTCCTCGAAGTTGACGTTGCCGTCGCCGTCGCCGTCGACCGACCCGATCATCCTGACGCAGTCCTCGACGGAGCACCGCATGTTGAGGCGGTTGAGCACCTGGTGGAGCTCCGCGGCGGAGATGAGCCCGTTCCGGTCCTGGTCGTACAGGTCGAAGGCGTCGCGGAGGTCGGACTCCGGGGAGGAGGGGCCGGACCGGCAGAGGACGGCGAACTCCGGGAGGCTGATGAAGCCGTCCCGGTCGGTGTCGATCTCCGCCACGGCGCGGCCGAGGTCGGAGGGCGGGACCGGGGAGCCCATGGCGGCGAGGACCTGGGAGAGCTCCGCGGCGGAGATCTTGCCGTCGCCGTTGGCGTCGAACTGATCGAACACCTTCCGGAGCTCCGCGTCGCTCATGTGCTGGAGGTGGGACGACGTCGCCGGAGCCACCGGCGCCGGGTCCTGGGTCGGAGTCGGTGCGGTCGCCATGGATGGGATGCCGGGAGCTCTCTCTTCCTTCTTCTGGCTTCGGTGCGAGCGTTTGAATTCTAGAGAGAGAGAGAGAGAGAGAGAGAAAGAGGGGTTCTCGAAATGGAAAGCGGTTTGAGCGGGGCGAGCGAAAAGGGCGGTGCGAGCTTTACGGGAAGTCAACGATCCTGGGTTGTCGGAATCCTGACCGTTCGTTTTACGTTCGCGTATCCTAGCCGTTAGTTTTTTACGATTCACTTTCTGCAAAAAAAAAAACCAAAAGATAAAAGAAACAGCTGCGTATCCTGACCGTTGATCTTTCGACACGACGTCGTTCTCGCTTGATCAACGGATTTTACTTTCATTGGCTCGATCGGGATAGGCAGGATTGACCGTTAATCTCTTCTTTCCCTTTCTTATTTTTTTCTTTTCTTTTATTTTTAAATTATTATTTTCCTTTTCTTTTCTTTTTCTTTCCTTTGAACGAGGGATGTTTGATCGAGCGAAGGAATATTTCATTCCGGCAACGGCAAGACCCTCGTGCCGTGGGCAGCCCGCCTTGTTTGGGGACGGCCCCTCCATGTGAGGGGGTCGTGCCGATGCCCGGGCTCTACTTTTGGCCTGAACGTGTAGGATATGCGGCGCAATAGAAAATGTTAGGGAAAGCACCCAACACGCGATGTGCGTACAAACAAAAGAGTAGGGATAGAGAAATGCTTTTTATAGTGATCCGGCCTATATTAGTGTCGACTCCTTCCCGAGATTGTTGGGGAGTTATGCCCAATCCACTAAACAAATAGGGTTGCATTGTTTTACAATATATTCCTCTCACGAGGTTAATCGCCCAAAGAGTTTTAGATTGCAAAAAGTAAAGAAGAATCTTTTGCAAGTGTATGTACTGTTCTCTACATACTTAAGACTATGGGCAACCCCATTTATATATATATAAAAAAGAAGAAGCCTAACTAGCAGTTAGATAAGCTTCAAACTGCTAGAATTCAACTGTTAAAACTTCCGGGTGTCCGGTCAAAAAGGCCGCGGACATCCACTAAACTAGGCAAACAATTTTAACGTTGAACTACGGTAGCCGGGTCAGGGTGTCTGGCACCAATACTTGGCTGAGCACCTGTCCTCTTCTTCAAGGCTGAGACAGCCTTGAAATTCAATAAAATAACACTCAAATATATATAAAAAAAGTATTTTTTAATAATCAATAACATGTTAGAGTGAGTTTTGTAATCACTAAAATTGAATTTGGATCGACAGTCTTCATATTTTTTACGATGACAAAATCACATCGGTTTAAATCAAACCTTTTAGTTGAGAAACTCCCCCAAAACATATTATTGGATAGATCAATAACTTCAAGTCATAAGCCCCCACCGCAAGAATGCTGATTTATCAAATTAAAGAACACATGCATTGTCGTACACATTCTCTCCCCTTTTGTGATAAACATCAAGAAGGGTTTAACGGGCATGAAGAAAAAAGAGCTAAGTAAATCCATCATGGTGCTCGTGGGGAAAGAGACCAGAAAAGACAAAAGAGAAAAAGAATAAAGAGAAAAGAAAAAGAAACAAAAGAAAAAGAAAAAAGAAAAGAGGGAAAATCGAAAAAAAATAAAGAAAATCAGAAAAGGGATTAAAAAAATGGGAGTCCCGGGTGGGCCAGAGAGCCGGGTCAGGTAGTCGGGCGGATCGGGTCAGGGGATCCGATCCAGAATTCTTATTTTATCAATAAAAATATTAAAAATTCCAAAAAAAATCGAAAATGTTTAAAAAATAAAAAAAGTTAAAAAAAATCAGAAAAAATCAGAAAATTCCGAAAAAAATCCAGAAAATTAGAAAATGTTCAGAAATCACTTTTTAGGCTTAATTTCACTAGGTATTAGTGTTAATTTCATTCTAGGCTTAGTTTAAAACTTGTAAAAAATGAGAAAAATCTTTAAAAAATTTCAAAAAAATTTGAACAAGCCATTAAGGCTTTACTTTAGAGCTTTTAATTGCCTTTTCTTTTTAAAGACAATGTTAGGTCGCTGGTTATTTCTTTTCTTTATGATTATTTGGTTGTGCACCTTTAATACATTGGTTGTTATTTTCGATTTTTAACATGTTAGATAGAATCTTAAGCTTCTTCGATAGGCTACCCAGTACGTTGGTTTGCGAGCGTTCAAGTTTAGGTACCGAAAGAGTACTAGTTAGATCGCTAGTGTAATCAAGTCCTCGATCTTCAAAATCTTTGGTTCTCACACGTCTCGAGACGACACTCCCGTGTCTCGATTAGGATTCCTAGCCAACCCTTTTATCATGGCTAGTGGTGACTACAATTGAATGCTTACTTTAGACAATTCTCGTCGCATGAGGTATGAGGCTTTGGAGTGTCTCGGTCCTTGGATTAATGAACTATTTGATTTGTCTTTCAAACGAATCAATGTTCACATCCATCGACAAATATCTCTTGACCTAGCCAATCAATTTTTGATTAACCTAATCGGGACATGTAGGTCGCGACACCTCACGAAAAAGTGCGAATCGTTTTTATATTCTCTTTTTTGCTCGGATGGCTTTTGTGCTCGCTCTTTATATGTCATGATCTATCAAACTTACTAGGTTAGAGAATGGGCCCAAAAGAAAGGGTTAATATCACAAAAAATCCAAAACTGGTACATCTGTGATAAATTTATCATAAACTAATTTTTTTACCATAAAAAACTCTAAACTGGTACATCTGTGATAAATTTACCCTCTAATAGTTTCCGTTAAATTTTACCGTCAAATTTCTGAGTTAAATGACACATGGTAATTGATGAGTGTACCGGTTCGGGGTATTACCTTTTATTTGTCATAGGTGTAATAGTTTGTGATTTTTCGTGATATTAATTCAATTTAACGGAAGGTAAATTTGTCACAAATGTACTGGTTTGGGATTTTTTGTGGTATAAAAATTAGTTTGGGGTAAATTTGTCACAAGTGTACCAGTTTGAGGTTTTTTGCGGTCAAAAAATTAATTTTGGGTAAATTTATCACAGATATACCAGTTTAAGGTTTTTCGTGGTATTAACCCCAAAAGAAATGCTAACTTGCCCTTAAATAGTCAAAAACCCAAAATTCTGTCTTGTCACAGTCTATCCACTTATGCTTTTCTCTTTCCGAAAATTGAAGATGAAAAACAAATTGTTTGAAATTTTGAAAAGTTCTCAAACTTCAATATTTAAATATTTGGAAAAAAAGTCACTAAAAATCCAAAATTGCGCCCATTGTGACACATTTACCCCCGTCAAAATTCCGCCAATGAGTATCCTTAAAAATTAGTTTATATGAACGTCGGGAGGCAAGTGGTGTTGACATGGCGTCCACGTGACTTAAATGAAATAAAAATGACATTTTGACTGAATAAATATTTGACGAAAACTTGACGAAGGGTAAATGTGTCACATAGGTACATGTTTAAGGTTTTTTTTATCTCAATAAAATTTTTTGGGTAAATGTGTCATGGACATAATTTGAGGTTTTGATATCACAAAAAAGTTCATGGTAAATGTGTCGCAGTAAACATAATTTAGGGTTCTTGACGGCACTTTCCCTAAATTTTTTTAAGAGATTTCAAATTAAAAGTCAAAATCTGAGCATCACAATATATATAGAAAATCAGAAATTAAACAAAAGTCACTCTAAACATGTCGCTTTTTCGGAAAATGGGTTATTTGATTAAGATTGAAATCGAATCCTTTTCTCTCTCCCTTGTTTAGTTTTTCAAAATCTTCCTGCTAGACCTAATAATAGACTCTCTCTTTTTTCTTCTTTTTTGTCGGAGACCTAATAATAGACTCTCTTTTTCTTTTGGGTCGAAGACCTAATAATAGACTTGACGGCACAATATACTTGCCTATCTACTAGCACTTGCTAGACTGGGCCCAATTCTATTCTTTCGAGGTCCAGGCAAAACACCTTTCTTTATTGAGCCCGACCCATCAAAACCCGGTTTCCCTCTTTCAATTGCTACTGAAATAGTTTTAGATGATTTTCCAATTCAGGCCGGACATTGAAAATGCTTGCCGGACTCGTCCGCGGACGAAGACCTTGCAATTCTCAACTGCCTATGCATGTAATTGAGATGCGCATCGACGATCGAGAGCCGTCAAGACGTCCCGGGAGCGCCGTGTGGAGCGCGGAGATTCGCGCCCCGAGCCCAAACCCGGTTTTCGACCCGATTCCTCTGGAGGGCCGAGCCCGGACGGACCGACACATGCCTCACAAGTTCTCAATATCATCAGGCCTATATCTAGCAAGAGCAATCGGAACTCAGCAATCGAAGCAATATAAATGGAGTTAGGTGACCAACTCCCCTCCAGCAGATGGACATAGTCCAAAAACAATTACGACTTTCTGAACACAACCTCACTATGTTCTCTGTGATATACTAAGAGTGTAGTGCTAAAGTCCAATGAAAACATATCATCTTTACCTACTAAAGCAACATCACTTCCAATTTTTCAGCTACAGGTATACAACAACCCCCCCATGGAGTCCTCTTGCACCTTGCCACTTACTACCATCACCATCATATTAACCAGCTACAATATGATCACTATACTCGGTAATAATTTAACCCGCTGGAACCGGAAGTCGGAACATGAGATGAAAACCACCGGAACCGGAAGTCGGAACATGAGATGCAAACCGATGCCCCTCTCTAACGGTGGTGAGGGCAGAATGTGACGATGTAGTTCCCCCTCGTGCAGGTCGCGATGCTCGTGGGGTCGTCGAACGCGTAGGAGTATGCCTTGGGGCAAGCCGTCTTGAAGATCCTCGAGTAAGCCGTCGGTTTGCAAGACTGCGGGTTCCCGAAGCTCCCCGTGCAGCAGTACCTCGGCGAGTTGAATGCGAAGCAGGCGCTCTTGCAGGCCACGACCCTGTTATCGTGAGACCGGACCTGAAGTCCCACCGGGCACATCATGTTCAGGTCGCTCACACAACCTTGCGCAGCAAGAGCATATTGTTCAGCTCGATTGTGCGTAGACAACATTTACGTAGTCTAACTCTTATCTCTCTTAATGAATTCGGGGTGATTATCAACATCGATTAAAATTACAACGCGTGTAGAAAATCGTAAAACCAAAAATTAAAGTTGGGTTTTTCCCTCACCACTAAAGTTTATCACTTACTGCATTTTCATATCAATTGGTAATCTAAGCAAAATCAAGCTGGATCAAGGCATAAGCAACCAAGACGAAGCAGTTAAAAATTGATTTCCACGAACTAAGCTCTTGTGATACTGTTTCAATGCTCTCGTATATAGGTGGTTTTTCAATCTTTAAGGAGCACAAAGCTATTGAAGAAAAGAAATTGATTTAATCATAAAATCATATAAAAGTTGTGTATTATGTTACTTAACTTACCGTGTTCTAGCATCTCGCAACAATTTCGCGAAGAAGTCTATACACGCTTTTTCTAATTACTTTGACACACAGGATATCATTCGCAGAACATCATCCTAGCCACAACTGCAGCACCAAATCTGCATATCGACCATATAATAGCTCGTATCGTTATACCTGCATAGCTGCATTTCCCAGAGCCCTTGAATGGCGTGATCGAGATGGCGAGATTGTAGCCATCGACGAGGCTGACATCATAGAAGTCCTGGTCGTTGCCTAGGGTGATCTCAGCGAGGGTGGCAGGAGGGGTGCCGCCGAGGCCGTTGCATTGGAGGGAGCCGCCGCAGTCCCCGGTGGCACATCGGCCACGACCGGCGGCATCAAAGGTGCAGCCGTGGCGGCCCCAGAAGCGGCCGGACCAGAGGGCCGGCAGCCGGATCGTGGAGGCCCTGTTTGGCAGGAGGGTGAAGCCGCCACGGGCAAGGACGGGCTTGCCGGCGCCGGGCTGAATGCCCGGCCAAACGGGGTGCTCGCAGCGGTTGTGGAAGGTTATGGTTGTCGCTGACGACTTGTCTGCATTACAACAATGCAAAACAGGATGTTCAGTACAGTCCAGTGTTTTCATTTCACTTCAAACCATTAACATTTAACATGTCGCAAATGGGTGGTCCAGCATTGTTTAGAACCGGCACATCTGCATCAAGCCTCAATGTTCATAGAATTCGGAGTGATGATACACTGTTCATGCTTAAAACAGTCCAGCATGTTACAATGCAAGCTAATACGAAACTTGAAAAGCACTAGTTCTCTGCATCGTCCAAAGTACTTCGAAGCACATAATGAGAAAACAACCTGATAATGAAGTAGAAACGCTTAGCGTATATTAAACAAGCGTGTATCAGAGTCCTGACTCCTGAGTCACTTTCTTAAAGAATCCTATGAAATTACCAATAATTTGAACTTCTAGATTTAGGGAACGTTTGTTTAGAGTCACTTTTACTGTATTAATTTTTTTTTACTTTTCGGCTCTCGCAAATCTACTTTAATTCAAACACTGAAAAGACTTTAAAACTTTACTTTGACACATAAAGGGCATGATTTCACTAAATATCTCAAGTTGTTGATGAGTAATTTTTGCCTAGAGCAAAGCCTAAACGAACGTGCTCTTAAACAAGAACTTAAACGAAAATGGCTAAACAGAGATCTGCAGATCTAAGTTTTTTTTCCCAAATCTCTGTCTCATCTTTGTGATTCGAGAATGGCATTCAAGAAATATCCCTAAAGTGGAGGCCAAAGCCAAAAATGTTCATTAGAAAGAACGATGGGTTCTTATAGTGCTGTCGACAGAGTGCATACCTGCCTGCATTGCAATGTGGAAACAGTAGACCAGAGAGAAGGAAGAGAGAGCGCATGTGGTATACCTGCAATGTGGATGCAGAGGAGGGTGAACAGGAGCAGAGTGAGCACAGGCCTCAGCATTGCCGCCATTGTTGTCAAGCTCAGGAGGACCCAATCAGCAACCGGACTCGGTGCAAACAAGTGAGAGAAAAAGAGAGTTCTAGGAAAGCAGCTTCACCCCACTCTCTCCACTCTCTTCACATCCTACTGAGGAAGTGCCTTTATATAGAGAGAAAAAACAGAGAGATGGGCATCGGTAGGGTTCACTTTAATGGCTCTGTCTTCTTTTCATGCTCGTGTTTACCCCCAGAAGGTGAATAATGATAAAACTGAGAAGGTTGAATTTGTGGTGTCTGCCGAAGATTAAAAGACCCTTCTTCCATTTCACCTCTGTCAATCACTTTTGAGAGAGAGAGTGAGTGAGTGAGTGAGAGTGAGGGAGTGACAAAAGTCTGGCTCGTTCATCGAGGATGTCAGAGGGGTCAGTGGGGGATAGTTGTCTGCATCCAAGGCCAAAAATATGAAAAGGAAGGAGGGAGGTGGTTCACATTCACATGTGACGAGGGAATCAAAACCTCCCCCGGCATGCACAGAGCACATCGCCCTGCTCGTCCATCTTTCCATGGTGGAAAAGTTTGGTGTGCTTCGGCCCCCATTGCCCATGTGCAATCATACTTAAAGTTGTGTCAATTGCACATCTTGGGGCTGCAAAAGCTTCATATCTATGTCATATCCATGATCTTTTTTTATGTCTAATAGGTAAAAAGAGAAAGAGCGTGACCCGTCCTACCTTTATCCTTTACCATTTATGTATCACACTCGGTTACATAACTAGTATAAGTCTTATTTCTACATGAGATCCTAAAGTCGAGACTTCAAGAAGAATATCCATCACCGCCGGCCAACCGAGGTCCCAACATAAAGAGGACTCTTTCACATAAGAGCTGATTCACAAAGCCCGTTATTATTTGAATGTGTAATCTCATAAAAGACGGCAAGCGCGTTTGTCGCCGAGCTATCTCGATCATGAGATTATGTCATGTCATGTCGTGTCATGTAGTGTTATAATCTTTCTTAACCACTACGGCTCTTCACTTTTGTATTATGTGTATTTAAAGTTTATGAGAATTCGAAGTCTTTTGGAATGACGGAACTCGGGAATGTGGGGACTTTGAGGGATATGCAAGGATGGCTATATTGCATCGGATGATCCGGATGATCTTTTCCCATTTCGAGTAATCATGTTCCAAATTTTGCACAATTGAACTTTGACAATGGACGGATCAAGGTTTAGATTGAAAAGAACAAAAGAGAAAAACACAATAGAAAGATCATAGTCCAACTGAGTATAATTTTTTGGCTTTCCATCGAACAAATTAATGACCAAAATTTTGTGCTCACGAGACCAACTGGGAAGCACCTGAAATCGGGAGGAGGATGACCGGGAGTGCTTTCCACGTCGGCCAAGAGCCGTTGATCGAGAGCATAGGGATTCCCTCGAGCTCATGATGCAGAGGCTGTGGGGGTACCCACCAAAAAGAGAGAATATCAACGTTACTGTGAATCTTGTCTGGCCAAGGATCTAGCGGCTGAGATGAAATCAGACGATCCCCACGCAATAATGAATGGTCACTCGATTTTCACCGGATCGTGAGTTTGGTAACACTAGGAGCGATCGGTTCCCGAGCGGTCCGATTCACTTGTATGTTCCGGTTCCTAAATGGGCCAATGAAACCGGTGACATGTTTAAATTTTTTTTTATTTGTCGGTAATATTCAAGACGAAATTGAAAACGTTTTTGGTAATGAATGCGTTTTTTACAATCAGTTAGTAATCTGTTAGTTACGTGTAATATTACAAGTTTCACAAAGTTTTTTTTCAATTTGTGGTAAAATCTGATTGGAATGAGCAACTACTATTGTATTTTTATTTGTTCTTGTCATTTTACTCAAGTGCATAAGTAAACATTGTTGTTCTAATCTTAAAGGCCGTTCCTTTGTGAAATGAGAGATAGTTTATGATTTTTTTTTTTACATATTATTATGAAATTAAAAAATCGAAAGAAAAAAATCGATCCGATTCTACACTTGGAAACAGGAACTGCACGAGTTCCAATTTTATGGAATCAGGCCAGATCAGTGTCCATGGGAACCACCTGGAATTGGCCGATCTGGATGGCTCTCGATCCGGGCTATTCCTTTTGCTTACATCTAATTTTGCGTTATCTAGCTGCAGCATACCTCACTCACGCAAGAGATTTGACGATGGCCGATATCTTAGTGAGGCATTGGCGACGGGCTCGCCAATCTCGAATCTGTCAGGCCGGGAGTGATGCACGATTGTTACGACTCGGATCGAACGGGATTTGCTAACGCGAGTGCCCCAATTTACCGGTGACGAAGAGGGAGACAATTATTGAATTTTCGTTGGCAGTGTATCTGACACGGGGCGGGCGGGGAGAGAGATTCTTCTATCGAAATTATTGCCGTCTAATGGCCCGGCTATACGAGGATCGGGTACATCGAACGCGACATTGCGTTTGTTTTCTCGAAAGAAAAAACCTGCGACTCCAACAAGAGAAAGAACAAAAGCAGGTGAGCTCGTGGTAGATCCATGTTATAGATGAAGAAAAACCAAGCCCATCTCACATGTCACGTACCATGACTCGTGAGTTTTTTTTTGGCTCATGCCCAGTTGAATATTTCGCCGAAAGTCGCTCTTTAAATTTTTATTAAAAGAGACGGATTCTGTGGCGGTTCCGGACTTAAAATAACACGGGCAGACAAAAAAGAACAATAGTTTCATTCTAGACAGAACTATGTGTACATAGATCGTGCATGAATTTAATCGACGACGAAGCTTAGAAAATGAAGTCACTTAGACGAAACCGAACGTAAACAGATTATGCCGGAATTTGATCGGCGACAAAACTTGAGAATGTAAAGATGTTATGCCGGAATTTAATCAATGACGTAACGCATGGGATAAAAACACGTCGGAATTTAATCGACGACGTGGGTCTGGAAACTAAAACTGCAGTGCAGGAAAGTAAATATAACTTTAAGATATTAAATTAATTTGTTTGTGCGTGGGGCCCTTCTAAGAGTAAGTTTACAATCACCGGTTATTAATGGAGGTTACAAAAGAAAGTAACAAACATATGTTACAAACCGTAACTGAACAGTAACATCAACGGTTTTTTTTTGACTCCACTATCTTAATGGTTCACTCGACTTCACTATTTTGACGGTTGCTTTATTCCACGGATTGTTGACACCACTTTTTATCGATTCCTTCAAGCTGTCAATTATCAAGTTGCAGATGATTTTGTTCATAAATAATTAAATTTTACTTTTATCGACCGAGTTTATCATATATCAATAAATACAAAATTTGATCCATTTTTTGGTGCAAGCATTATCCTAAAAAAAATTCGAGTCACAACTTAAGAGAAGATATTTTATGTGACGAATTTATTAAGTGGCACTGATGCGTGACATATTTGATCCAATAAAAAATGAGATGCATAAATACATAATACCAAATAAGATGAGACTCATAACATACAGACAATGATGATTAATTGGTTACGTCGTGTTTTCGCCATGGCATCTTGTTTTTATCTTACGAAATATCTTCTCAACGGGGCAGAAGTTCCCCAACATGTTTGGTTTAAACCTATTTAAAGTATAAAGTCAATTTTTAATTTTCTTGGTTGGTTGGAGAGTACTTCTCTATGATGCCAAATTACTTTTGAGATCATTGGCATAGATCTGTATGATCTATAGCCTAAATCCGACAAAAGAAAAAGCGGCCGCTTCTTTTCCGTTGCTTTTAGGACTAAAATACTCCTTATCACAATATTTTGGCAATAGTCTTTGTGAATCCCATCTCTTTTAAGCATTCTTCGACTACTTTTCTTTTTTCTGTTTTCATGTGTGCCACCTTAATTTTCTCATTTATTTTTATGTTCTCTCTTTTTATAAAACACCCTTTCTCTTGCCAATAATAGACAAATTTTTGACACTCCAATGTTTGTCATCGACACAAAAAAAAATGTCCGTCACCAATACAAGCAACTTACAGAGTTGAAGCCTAGATTTACGGAAACCTCCTTTTCACCCAACCAGTCCTCTTCTATCTCCATTTCTTCAACTCAAAGCTCAATTGTAAGTAAAAAAACCCATCTCATATCTCTTCACTCTTCACCCCCATTCCATCCCTTTCGCTCTTTGTGTTATTCACTGTCCCATTTGGCGTCTAATTCTTCGATTGATCGATAACGAAAACAAGAACAAACCCCATTAAAGATTCATATTCAGAAGGTGAAGCCCTCACCCATATCCTCATTAAGCTCATCAGCAATGTCTACTTCTCCGTCTTCGTCTTCTTGGTTCTGATTGTCACCATCATCACCAATTTGCCATCACCTACTAGCCTCTATATCCATGGTTCGAATTCACCCCTGCTCTCACTAAGTTCTTTACACAAATCGAAAAATGCCACCTTTAAGAACAATAATCCCATCCTCGAGACTGACGACGATTTGCCCCTCCTCGCCCCCGTGGTCTCTCCTACTTCTACGCTGATCTTAGTCACCAAACTGCCATCGCCGATGATTGAGAGGGCTAAAGAGGTGATTGCAAGTCCAAGCCCTTATGCGATAAGGCAGCCATGTTGCCCGTCAATTGTTTGGATCCTCGCGTTCTGATTGCCATTAAGAAGTTTAATGCGAGAGCCTTTAGGCTCTGTTTGGTAACGGTTCTGTTTCCGGGAATAATTTCTGTTCCGAAATAATTTTTTCTATTTCTATTCCCTGGACGAGTTTCTGAGCAGAAGAACGCGTTCAGTAACTGCACAAATTTCTATTTTTGGAATAAAAAAATAATAGAAATGCGTTTGGTACAATCTTAAAAATTTTTGTTCCTAATTTTTTCATTTAATTATAATAATGTCAATGGAGACATAAAACTGGACTAGAAATAGAATATAATTGGATGACCTTAATGTAATCATAATGAAAATTACTCCTTATAGATAAAGTAAATACTGAGTGGTGGTCAAAGAAATTGCAGTATAGGGTTTAGGGTTTCGAGGTTTGGCGTTTAGGATTTAGGGGCTTAGGGTTTGAGGTTTTGGGGTTTAGGGTTTGGGTTTGAGGATTTAGCGTTCGGGGTTCATGGTTTTAGGGATTCAAGTTTAGGGTTTTGGGGTTTAGTGTTTAGATGGTTTAGGGTTTGATGTTTGGGATTTAGTGTTTAGAGATTCG